AACTGGTAACCCTCCGGTTGTCGGCTCGCCTCTCTAACCGGTAGGCTAGCTGACGCCTGTATGTATGCTTGTTCTTAATTTTTTTATTTTGATAGCCTTTTAGTAAAATATTTTGGCATTTGTACAATGTCAAATTGATATGTCAAATAGATTGCTGACACAACTGTAAAGCTAGGTGTGACTCACAGTCAGTGTGGGTAAAAAGTGAGAGAGGTTGTTACTTACCATAAATGACAACCTTTACCTCTCTCATTCATTCATTTATCCATTAATTATTTTGTTTTGTAATCCATGGCAACTATAAACAGCCCCACTGGCAGCTAATGTGTAGCTCTTCCTCAAGCACACCTACAGGAAGAGAGCAGAGGGCCGTGGGAAAACTAAAATGCCCTCGCCCTCCCATCACCTCCACCTCTCCTGGAACTGAAGTGGAGCCGTCCTACACAGGGCAGGGCCAGGTTTTGGCACACACATACATATCTCCTCTGTTGCTCATACGTGGCAATGGACCAGGAAGTCACTGTGAAATAAGTGAAGTATACAGTATTGGTATTTCTATTGATCAGACCAACAGGAGGAATGAATCCCTCTGTGTACCCCTGCTGCAAGCTTAGCAGAGGACAATTATATAATAGGTGATCAGGAAATGTGTGTGTGCGCATGCACGAGTGTGTTTTCCCCTTCTTCTTATACCACACATACGTGATACACTGTAAGGAAATATTTAGTTTTTACAATATATTAGTATGAATTTATTTATTTATTTTAGCTTTATTTAACTAGGCAAGTCAATTAAGAACAAATTCTTATTTACAATGACGGCCTACACCGGCCAAACCCGGACGACGCTGGGCCGGTTGTGATACAGCCTGGAGTCGAACCAGGTGGTCTGTAGTGACGCCTCAAGCACTGAGATGCAGTGCCTTAGACCGCTGCGCCTCTGGGAGCCCCAGTGAGAGTTGAAACCTCAAAGTATGTTATGTATTCACAATACATAATGTGAGAACACAAAGTGCTGTGTGGGAAGTGAACTCTGGATTGTTTTACAGTAACTCTCAGACTAAATAGATTGTTTTACAGTAATTCTTAGACTAAAAGGGATTGTTTTACAGTAATTCTCAGACTAAAAGGGATTGTTTTACAGTAATTCTCAGACTAAAAGGGATTGTTTTACAGTAATTATTCGGTGAAGCTGTAATGTCTATATAGTTGGACGGAGAGCCTAGAAAGCTAAACCCAGCTAAACTTTTCAGATTCATTAAAATCCTAGCTACAAGTAGCCTATAGGCCTATTGTGAACAGGTTGCTGGAGTAGGGAGAGCCGTATCTATTCATACATGCTTAAGGCTAGAATCCTTAGTTGTTACATCCATTTTTGGATTCAAATTCATTATACAGTAAATACTCATTGATTCTTGAATAATATAACTTATAAATGCCTCATAAACTTAGTTCAACTGTCGTACCGCATCAGAAACCAAAATACAGTGGCTTCAGAAAGTATTCATACCCCTTGACTTATTCCACATTTTGTTGTGTTACAGCCTGATATCAAAATGGATTAAATAGATTTCTCACCCATCTACACACAATACCCCATAATGACAAAGTGAAAACATTTTTTTAGACATTTTTGCAAATGTATTGAAAATGTAATACAGAAATACTCTAATTTACGCAATATTCACACCCCTGAGTCAATACATGTTATAATCACTTTTGGCAGTGATTACAACTGTGAGTCCTTTTGGGTAAGCCTCTAAGAGCTTTGCACACCTGGATTGTACAATATTTGCACATTATTATTAAAACAATTATTCAAGTTGGTTGTTGGTCATTGCTAGACAGCCATTTTCAAGTTTTGCCAAAGATTTTCAAGCCAATTGAATTCAAAACTGTAACTAGGCCACTCAGGAACATTCAATGTCGTCTTGGTAAGCAACTCCAATGTATATTTGGCCTTGTGTTTTAGGTTATTTTCCTGCTGAAAGGTGAATTCATCTCCCAATGTCTGGTGGAAAGCAGACTGAACCAGGTTTTCCTCTAGGATTTTGCCTGTGCTTAGCTCCATTCCATAAAAAGAAATCCTGAAAGACTCCCCAGTCCTTAACAATTACAAGCATACATAATGCAGCCACCACTATGCTTGAAAATATGGATAGTGGTACTCAGTAATGTGTTGTATTGGATTTGCCCCAAACATAACACTTTGTATTCAGGACAAAAATTGAATTGCTTTGCCACATTTTTTGTAGTATTACTTAAGTGTCTTGTTGGAAACAGGGTGCATGTTTTGGAATATTTTTATTCTGTGCAGGCTTTCTTCTTTTCACTCTGTCAATTAGGGTAGTATTGTGGAGTCACTACAATGTTGTTGATCCATCCTCAGTTTTCTCCTATCTCAGCCATTAAACTCTGTAACTGTTTTAAAGTCACCATTGGCCTCATGGTGAAATCCCTGAGCAGTTTCCTTCCTCTCCGGCAACTGAGTTAGGAAGGACAGCTGTATGTTTGTAGTGACTGGGTGTAATGATACACCATCCAAACTGTAATTAATAACTTCACCATGCTCAAAGGGATATTCAATCTCTGATTTTTTCCCCATCCATCTACCAATAGGTGCCCTTCTTTGCGAGGTATTGAAAAACCTCCCTGGACTTTGTGGTTGATTTTGTGTTTTAAATTCACTGCTTGACTGAGGGACCTTACAGATAATTGTATGTGTGGGGTACAGAGATGAGGCAGTCATAAAAAAATCATGTTAAACACTGTTATTGCAACTGATTATGTGACTTGTTGAGCACATTTTTACTTCTGAACTTATTTAGGCTTGCAATAACAAATGGGTTGAATACTCAAGACATTTCGGTTTCTCATTATTTATTAATTTGTAAAAATCTCGAAAAACATAATTACACTTTGACATTATGGGGTATTCTGTGTAGGTCAGTGACAAAAAAAAATCTAAATGTAATACATGTTTAATTCAGGCTGTAACACAACAACATTTGGAAAAAGTCAAGCGGTGTGAATACTTTATGAAGGCACTGTACACAAAAAGAATTTCTCTAATGTTTGTAAAAAAATAATCACTGTATTGTCTCTAAACATGGTTAAAACTATAATGTTGATATCATTGATGGTCAGTCCTTGCATCCATAGCTCTGTCTATGAATTTGAGAGGGGTTACATTTCTCCAGGCCCATCCCTCAGCTTTTTACCAAAACAGAGGCAGGGTGACCGCTTTGTTATTGTCTAGCTTTAATAAGAACAAAATCATTGTGTGTATATAGACAAGGAACTTGTTGCATTTGTTTAAGGTCTTTCTTTTTTATTTTAATGATCAAGCAAATTTGCATTCATTTTCAGAGTCAGACTCACAAAACAAAAGACATTCACCTTGCTAACATGACAATGACAACTTATAAAATGTATAATGATAATAATCATCATCATCACCATAATAATTAAAATAATAACAACCCATTGTACAACTAATAACAAAAATAATAATAATAATAATAATAGGCTAATAATTACGCTAGTTTTAACCTACTACATTCCTCCTTCCTCTGCTTCTTTTTCTCATAAGTCTACTAGGCTTGTAGTTAGTATTTTTGACAAAGTTCAAAGTGCATGGGTAAAAAAGAGGCCACACAAACAATACAACATGAGTCCTCCAGTCCAGCCACCAAGCATCTCTGCTTCCCCTTTCGGTACCCCCGCAGTAGCTGCAATCAGACCCTCGCCTAGCCTACTGCCTCCAGATCGGACCTGAGACCTCCCACTTCCAATAGCCCACACAATGTTCTGGCTGCGATGGGAAGGGAATGAGTTTATGTGGAATAGAGTTCTAAAACGTGTCCTCTTCTCTAAGGCGGGGGGGGGGGGGGGGGGGGGGGGGGGGGGGGGGGGGGGGGGGGTCTCTCTCTGTCTCTCTGACTCGCTCTCTCCCTTCTCTCTCTCTCTCTCTCTCAATTCAATTCAATTCAATTCAAGGGGCTTTATTGGCATGGGAAACATATGCTTACATTGCCAAAGCCAGTGAAATAGATAATTAACAAAAGTTAAATATACAATCAAAAATGAACAGTAAACATTACATTCACAAACGTTTGAAAGGAATAGAGACATTTCAAATGTCATATTACGGCTATGTACAGTGTTATAGCGATGTGCAAATAGTTAAAGTCCAAAAGGGAAAATAAATAAACATAAATATGGGTTGTTTTTACTCTCTCTCTCTCTCTCTCTCTCTCTCTCTCTCTCTCTCTCTCTCTCTCTCTCTCTCTCTCTCTCTCTCTCTCTCACTCTCTCAGTTCAATTCAAGGGGCTTTATTAGCATGGGAAACATATGTTTACATTGCCAAAGCAAGTGAAATGGATAAACGAAAGTGAAATTAACAATAAAAAGTGAACAGTAAATATTACACTCACACAAGTTCCAAAAATAATAAAGACATTTCAAATGTCATATTATGTATATATACAGTGTTGTAACAATGTGCAAATAGTTAAAGAACAAATGGGAAAATAAATAAACATAAATATGGGTTGTATTTACAATGATGTTTGTTCTTCACTGGTTGCCCTTTTCTTGTGGCAACAGGTCACACATATTGCTGCTGTGATTGCACACTGTGGTATTTCACCCAGTAGATATGGGAGTTTATCAAAATTGGATTTGTTTTCGAATTCTTTGTGGGTCTGTTATCTGAGGGAAATATGTCTCTATCTCTCTCTCTCTCTCTCTGTGTCTCTGACTGTCTCTCATGGTCGACGCCGCCTTCCTTTGATCTGCTCTCTAATAACAACAGTCACGTCATTGACCAACTGCGCGGAGGGGAGGGGAGTTTATTGAGGAGAGCAGAGCTTGGTCGCCTCCTGAGAGCTTCGACACAGCAGTCGCAGCAGACAGAGCAGAGCAACTTCCACGGAACTTTGGGGGAAGCAATCAATCAGTCTCTCTATCAGTCTCTCTCTGTCTCTCATTGCTCAAGCGACTGCCGAAGCCGAAGGAATGGAACACCAGTTGCTGTGCTGTGAAGTGGAGACCATCCGGAGAGCTTACCAAGACTCGAACCTGCTCAACGATAGAGTTTTGCAGACCATGCTAAAAGCTGAAGACAATTATCTCCCAGCAACGAACTACTTCAAATGTGTACAGAAAGAGATTGTACCTTGCATGAGGAGAATTCTTTCTACATGGATGCTGGAGGTTTGTGCAAGAAACACTTTCTAACAGATACATAACATTACATTTACCGAAACAGATACATAACATGACATTCACCGAAACAGATACATAACATTACATTCACCGAAACAGATACATAACATTACATTCACCGAAACAGATACATAACATTACATTCACCGAAACAGATACATAACATTGCATTCACCGAAACAGATACATAACATTACATTCACCGAAACATCTCATATGTCTAGCCAATGCCTTTGGAATAATAAAAGGCAACATACGCTACTAGCATGCGTCTATAAAGAGTACTTGTCCTGTGTTGGTCAAAGTTGTCTATAGGCCTACCTTTCAAATGTGTTTATTACATCATACGTATTTATTCACCCAGTTTACCCTTTGGACTACATTAAGAGGTTGTCTGTGGGACTCATTGAGCGTCATTTTACCTGATACATGCTGCAAATGACGCCAAATATTCCCATATATTATATATTCAAGGGAACGAACACTTTAGTTTCATAATTCTCTAAATTAATGTCAATGTACACGTATGCAGTCACAAGTGCCAAAATGCGCCATCTTTGTTTTCTTGTGGTTTATAGCACTATTTTGTGTGTTTAAAAAAGTAATAACTGTGTCACTGCTGTTTTCGATATAGTAGGCTAATTGACCTCATATGCATTTGGAGCTATGTTTCTATTGTTAAGTTACAACTTGATAAAGCAAACTTACAACTGAACCATCAAAGTCGATGTGGGAGTTGCAACGGGTCGACTCTAGTCTAAATATGGTTAATATCTTCGATCCCCTTTGAGAGAATGCAATGAAGGTGTCATATAATGAAAGAAGAAACATTGCTTAAAATTTACATGATAAAAATGTTTTCGTGATGTGGACGAATATATTTTTTATTAATTTCTAAAGTTGCATGCTGTAATGAGATGTGGGCGCATGCTCCTTGTCCAATTTAGTGGCTTACAAAAAAAGTTAATTTTGACCTGTATTCTTTTAGCTATTCGGAATAAGACACTTATGTCCAATAAAGTATACGCCTTAGACTGTTTACATGCAATTGTTACATGCTAAAACAATTTTCAAATATTAAAAACAATTTTTTGAAAATATGACGAACTACAATTGCTTTCTACGCCATGTGCTTGCCTTGACGCCACCTTTGTGTCCACGAGTGAAATATAATGTTGTCAAAATGTTGTAGATTTATCCAAAACGTCTTACATCTGCATTTACATTCACATAATATACACTTATATGCATGCATGTATGACTCGTGTTATTGTTTGTTATTTTTGATGACTTTGTAGTAGTGATGGTCGCCGATATGTAAAATCTCTGTTGCATTTTTCGATTCGATATTGATATCATATCGGGTTGTAGAAAGTACAGTTCATACAACTGCTTGCGGATTGCACATTGGCCCTGGTGTAAATGTTCTGGTAGCCTAAACCTACCTAACCAGTTTGAAAACAAAGGGATCCCATCCACAGTTGTCGACCCATCAGCAGGCAATTAAGTATGCTTAAGTCAGAGGGTTTTGTGCATGCCTTAACAGTCATGTATGCTTTTTTACAGAACAGTGTAGGTTAGCAGGAACAATAAACCAATATCATGATATGCCTTGCTCATATCGATATCAAACGATATTGATATATTTAATTATCAATATTGGTGCCCACCACTACTATGTAGTAGATAGAAATAGACCTATACAGGTATAGCCTATAGATATGTAACTGATCTTTCGTTTGGTTTTTGATTACAGGTCTGTGAGGAACAGAAATGTGAAGAGGAGGTTTTTCCCCTAGCTATGAATTTTTTGGACAGATATTTGTCGGTCGAACCCACAAAGAAGACCCGACTACAATTATTGGGAGCTACCTGCATGTTTCTGGCGTCTAAAATGAAGGAGACCATTCCTCTAACTGCTGAGAAGTTGTGCATATACACTGACAATTCCATCCGACCAATCGAGTTGCTGGTAATTTCACTTCCTCATCATGTTCTCATTAGTTGTAACCAACACATGTATATTATGTTAACGAGGATATAGTATAATATAGTATAGTGTAATATCCATATTATTACACAGTATGCCTATAATCAGAAATTTTTTTATGTGTTCATTATATTCCATATAGCCATGGTTAACTTCTGGAGATCAATCATTTAAAATGAGATAATAACTCAAATTCTGAAAGAAATTCTCAAACCAAATTCCCATAACATACTGTATCAATGATTGTAATGATAAGTAATTGGCAAGGTGGCAGAGTGTAGGCCTGTGTGGTGCATACCCCCCTCTAGTGGTGTGGTGGTGTCTTGAACCCTTGCACAGTGTCTTACTACAGGTTTTGTTTCTCTCTCTCTCTCTTCTCTCTCCCTCTCTCCCTCTCTCTCATCTACAGCAAATGGAACTACTAGTATTGAACAAACTGAAATGGGATCTAGCCTCAGTGACCCCACACGATTTCATAGACCATTTCCTCTCCAAACTACCCATCCATCAGGACACCGAGCAAATCCTGCGCAAGCATGCCCAGACCTTTGTGGCCCTATGTGCTACAGGTATGCATGATGGGAGCTCCACCACTACCCTGCCTGTCTGTTGTTACAGTTGTAGGATCGGTAGAGGGGGTAGAGGGGGTTTGGGCTGGAGGAAGAGGGGGTTTGGGCTGGAGGTGAAGGGGGTAGGGAGTGGAACACTAGAGAGTGTGAAAGCATGTTGAAGATCCTGTATGTGCTATTTGTGATGAGTAATACTTCTAAGGAAGGTATTTAACTATACTGAACAAAAATATAAGTGCAACATGCAACAATTTCAAATATTTTACTGAGTTACATTTCATATAAGGAAGTCAGTCAATTGAAATACATTTGTTGGGCCCTAATCTATGGATTTCACATGACTGGGAATACAGATATGCATCTGTTGGTCACAGACACATCAAAAAAAAGTAAGGGCGTGGATCAGAAAACCAGTCTGGTGTGACCACCATTTGCCTCATGCAGCACGAAACTTCTCCTTCCCATAGAGTGGATCAGGCTGTTGATTGTTGTCTGTGGAATGTTGTCACACTCCTCTTCAATGGCTGTGCGAAGTTGCTGGATATTGGCAGGAACTGGAACACGCTGTCGTACACATCGATCCAGAGCATCCCAAACATGCTCAATGGATGACATGTCTGTTGAGTATGCAGGCCATGGAAGAACTGGAACATTTTCAGCTTCCAGGAATTGTGTACAGATCCTTGTGACATGGGGCTGTGCATTATCATGCTGAAACATGAGGTGATGGCGGCGGATGAATGGCACGACAATGGGCCTCAGGATTTCATCACGGTGTCTCTGTACATTCAAATTGCCATTGATCAAATGCAATTGTGTTCGTTGTCCGTAGCTTATGCCTGCCCATACCATAACCCCACCGCCATGATGGGGCACTCTTGTTCACAACGTTGACATCAGCAAACCGCTTGCCCACACGTGGTCTGCGGTTGTGAGGCCAGTTGGACGTACTGCCAAATTCTCTAAAACGACGTTGGAGGCGGCTTATGGTAGAGAAATAAACATTCAATTCTCTGGCAACAGCTCTGGTGTACATTCCTGCAGTCAGCATGCCAATTGCACGCTCCTTCAAAACTTGAGACATCTGTGGCATTGTGTTGTGTGGCAAAACTGCACATTTTAGAGTAGCCTTTTATTGTCCCCAGCACAAGGTGCACCTGTGTAATGAGCATGCTGTTTAATCAGCTTCTTGATATGCCACACCTGTCAGGTGGATGGATTATCTTGGCAAAGGAGAAAATGCTCACTAACAGGGATGTAAGCAAATTTGTGTACAACATTTGAGGGAAATAAGCTTTTTGTGCGTATGGAACATTTCTGGGACCTTTTATTTCAGCTCATGAAAACATGCTACCAACACTTTACATGTTGCGTTTATATTCTTGTTCAGTGTAGTTTTGAACTGCTGCCACATTGTTGTTGTCCGAGGTGTTTCGATAGGCTTTGATACACCTCTGTGAAATACACCTCTGTGAAATACACCTCTGTGAAATATATTTACTTCCTTCGTCTTGCCACCAATAGAAGAGATGATCCCCTTTTTTATATCTCTCCTTTTTTCTGAGATTGTGGAGTCACCTGCTTTATATAGTTCCTTAAGGACAGCTACTGGCTGGCATTCCTACATTTAACTAAAATGTAAAATGATTTAACCTAAAGGGTTTCAAGCATTTATTTCCTTTCTCTTTTAGGGGAGCCAATGATTGGGTAGATTTAGTGAGGATATGATTGGGTAGATCTAGTGAGGATATGGTCCCCGATGATGGCTCTCTGGCTTGCCTTTATGCCAGTGTCAAATTAAATTAATCTCACAGCGCTCCCTCAATCCTCGTCTCTAAACTCTTTGTGGTGCAGGCTCTTGTAATGGGAGCTCAGTCACAGTGATGCCCCATACTCTTTGCATGGGCTGGTGGGTTTAAAGGGGGCTTGTCTCCTAGACTGGGAGGCCCCCTAATTAATATGGTCAAATTAATGGTCTGAGCCTGGTGATTAGACCTGTTGTTTCACACAATGTGCCACGCCTGAGGAGTCCCTCTGGGTGTGTGTGTGTGTGTGTGAGCACCCCTGCCTGGAGTAGATGTATTGTCTCTTTAACCACTTAAAAATAGGAAGTGAGACATGATCTTTCCAGAGAGGTGTCCCAGCAGAGCTAGTTGAAGGGTGATTTATTGCATAGTGAGGCTGTGGAGAAGAGGAGAGAAAGGGGGTTTGGGCTGGAGGTAGAGGGGTAGAGGGGGTTTGGGCTGGAGGTTGAGGGGTTGAGGGGGTTTGGGCTGGAGGTAGAGGGGGTTTGGGCTGGAGGTAGGGGTTGAGGGGGTTTTGGGCTGGAGGTGAGGGGTTAGAGGGGGTTTGGGCTGGAGGTGAGGGGGTTTGGGCTGGAGGTAGGGTAGAGGGGTAGAGGCATGTTTGGGCTGGAGGTAGAGGGGTAGAGGCATGTTTGGGCTGGAGGTAGAGGGGTAGAGGGGCATGTTTGGGCTGGAGGTAGAGGGGTAGAGGGGTTTCTGAGTAGAGGGGGTGTTTGGGCTGGAGGTAGAGGGGTAGAGGCATGTTTGGGCTGGAGGTAGAAGGGGTAGGGCATGTTTGGGCTGGAGGTGAGGGTAGAGGGGGTTTGGGCTGGAGGTAGAGGGGGTGGGGGGGTAGAAGCATGTTTGGGGTGGAGGGGTAGAGGGGGTTTGGGCTGGAGGTAGAGGGGGTAAAGGGGGTTTGGGCTGGAGGTAGGGGTTAGAGGGGGTTTGGGCTGGAGGTGTATAGGGTAGAGGGGGTTTAGAGGAGAATACATCTGCATGAGCTTGTCTCTCTTTCTTTCTCTCTGTGTGATTATTAAGCAGCTCTTGGGCTGAATAGATAATTCATCACCAACATGAAAAATTTATGCACTCACTAACTGTAAGTCGCTCTGGATAAGAGCGTCTACTAAATGACTAAAATGTAAATGTTAAACATAATTATTCCAACAAGTGCAAAACATTTCCCCTCTTATTTTAATGACATGTTTTATCTACTCTTTAATCTTACCTAATGTTCTGTATGCATGTCAATTTACTCTCTAAGATGATGGAGAGAGGAGAACTGGACAACAGAGAGGAGAGGGAGGAGGGCCAGAGAGAGAGAGGGGTTAGAGAAGGCAGAAGAGAGGCAGGAAGAGGAGGGAGAAGGGATGATGAGAGGAGAGGAGAGGAGGGAGGCCAGAAAGAGGAGGCCAGAAGGGGGGACAGAGAGAGGGGGAGAAGGCCAAAGAGAGGAGGGGAAGAAGAGGGGGAAGAGACGAGGGGGATAGAGAGAGGGGGATAGAGAGAAGGGGGGAAAGAGAGGGAGAGAGAGGGGGATCAGAGGATGACCAGAGGGGGAGGGGAAAGGAATAGAAACCAAGAGGGGGTAGAGTGAGGGAGGAAGACCGATGAGTGAGGAATTCCGTAAGAGAAGAGGCTGATGAGCAAAAAAGAAGAGGGGGAAAGAGATGAGGGGAGAGTGATGGAGGGATCCAGAGCGAAGGGGGAAGAGGAGAGTGGGGACAGCAGTAGAGGGGAATGAATGGATAGAGGGGAAGGAAGATAGGGTGAAGTAGAGACGGAACAGAGAGGAGGGGGATAGAGAAGAGGGGGGACAGAGAGAGGGGGATAGAGTAGGAGAGGTGGGGATGAGAGGAGGGCTGATAGATAAAGGGGGAAGAGTAGAGGGGACTGGTTAAGAATGGTATAGATATAGGGTGGTATGAGTTAGAAGGAGTGGAGTATGGGGAAAGGGTCTTGTGTTTGTTGTAAAAAGGGCGAGCCTATCATGATACTGGACACTACAAGCGTTTACAGTTCAATCGTAGCAGCAGTGTCATCCCCCTTTCCAAATCCTATGTCAGCATCACGTGTCACTTTAGAACTTTAAATGCCTCTGTTCTGATTCTGCATGGAAGAAAGCCGATGTTTCCCTCTCTAGCCTTGCAATTATCTGGTTTTGCACATTAAAACTGCCATCCGTATACCTCATGTCTCACCACAACCTTCCTCCTCCCCTCCTCTCTTCCCCCCTCCGCTCCATGAGTGGTGATGCATGGCACGTGCGAAGCATGGATTCGAAGCATAGGACTGATCCCACTTGACCATCTTGCATCTCTGGTCTACTGTTGTCTCACTTTCCTGTGTTCACTCTGCTCCCTTACAGATCAGCTCAACTGGCCTCCGTCTCCTCGCCCCCTCCTTCCTCGCTCACGCCTTGAAGCAGCGGGTCTACCTAACGGCCAGAAAGATCGTCGGTCATGTGAAGGTTTTTAGGATCAAGACTGCAGGGTCTGCTTCGCGAATCTTAGGCTGACTGGATCAGAGATTAGATCCTCTGCGCTCTCATTCTCTAGTTCTCTCCTATCTCCTACTACTTCTCTCTATCTCTCTCTCTCCTCTCTTCTCTCTCTCTCTCTCTCTCTCTCTCTACACCAGATGTCAAATTCATTGCCAACCCTCCGTCAATGATCGCAGCGGGCCAGTGTGGCGGCTGCTGTCCAGGGGCTGCATCTGAAGATGGACGATGCAATGTCATCCCAGCAACTCACTCACTTCCTGTCCCAAGTCATCAGAAGTGACCCGGTACGCGAGAACAACCCAGTCTCATGCAAAAAAAATCAAAGGCTAATAACTTAGTGTTGTTAGTAATAGAATAACTTCTGAATTCTTCCTCGCCCACTGGTCTGGCTCTAGTTTCTACAGGCCTCTTTGATCCAGGTAATAAGAACCGTAATCATTAGAATGAGGTCCCTGGGGCACTCCTTCCCCCACCTGATTGAGGGTCTGGCCCTCTTATCCTTGGCCCAGTGAATTGCTTTAGCTCCTATTGTTTTGGGGCCAGGAATGGGTGCTAGCAGATTGGGTTTCCAGTCATTCTGGATGAATTGTCTTCCTCCTAATCCTGGCATAGTCACAGCCCTTCCCACTAGAGTACCACTCTGCCCTTGTGGTTCTGTGTGCTACCACAACTCCTTAAAGCCTACACAGTATATCATTGGTACCATTGTCATACCATTCTAATACTGTATACAGATGTAGAATCTTAATTTGAGCCAGTTTGCTACAGCAGGAAAATAATCCTGCAGCAACAGGAAATGTGAATTATTATGTGGATTATAATTCATGGATATCTTTTATAGGGGTTGATACATTTTACGTTAGGGCAAATCAAGTCTGACATTTTAAAGTGGAAATTACAAGTTTGCATTTCCTGCTGTGCAGGCAAATTCTCAACAACAAAAGAGTGATCAAATTAAGATCCTACATCTGTATTTTTCAGATTGTTTTGAAGATTTTTGTTATAAGGCAGGCAACAATCTGTTAGTCAAATGTCCATGACTGTAAGTGACGCTCATTGCTGAGAGACCGTCTAACACTAGTCCATATCTCATCACTAACGATGTGTCTCCCTCTGCAGGACTGTCTACGGGCGTGTCAAGAACAGATCGAATCCTTATTGGAGACCAGTCTCCGTCAGGCACAGCGACACACTGTTTCCGCAGAAACCAAGAGCATGGAAAAGGAGGTCAACCTCTCGTGCACGCCAACGGACGTGAGAGATGTGAACATCTGAGTTGGACAGTGTTGTCTGGTGCACACCAAGGAGAGGCCATAGATGGAGGAGAGGGCTTCGGGGAGAGAAGAGGACGCGCTGATTGACACTGTCTCAGCAGCACCGCTCCCCGCTGACTGTGCTCTCACCCACTTACACCTACTTACATACCTGTGCTCATAGCACAGGGTCTGGCCTGGCCTGAACGTCTTGTCTGGCTCCTAACATGTGTTGTAAGCGATCAGCCAGGGCTTAATTCCTACGCTTGCTCTCTGTCCCTTCACTGGTTTGTGGCAGCATAAATTGGGCGTGGTTCCCGCTATGTATTTTTTATAAAACAAACTTGAATAAGATAAAACATTTTGAAGTAGTACTGTATGTGCCACATATGTGTTGTGCAACACATTAGACATAAACTATATAATAATGAATTAGGTCTTATTTTTGTTCAACAGATTGAGTACACCTGCACCTGCAATTTCTCACATAAAAATCTAGTTTTGAGTTGTTTGATGACAAAGGCATTTTAAAATATGGTATACCCGCTTCTAAAGGAGCAGATGTTTTGCTGTGCCTGGTTAGTTTGGTATGTCCATGCTTGCCTCAACGTTTAACCGACTTTGAGATATTGTTTAGAAAATCAGTCTTCTAACCTCCTCTTTTTTGAAATGGAGAATGTAACCATACAATGTAATTTTGCTTAGCATACTTTTTCAATTATCATCAGAGGACTGTGGATTACCTCTGTCATAACTGCTGACACACTGCCTTCCGAAGACAGCAAGCTGACCAGTAAGGTACAGTTACTTCAGAATGTCTACAGGAAAAAGTCTACTTTCTATTGTACTTGAATACTTGCAACATCGCATTCTGCTACAGAATGATTAGCTAGCTGTCCTGAATGCTCTCTATGGAAGCTAACGTAGTCCACAGTCGTTATCGAATTGTTACTCTGTCTTACTTTCTAAGAACATTCCATCGGAAAAGCACTTTTGGTCAATAACGCTTTACTGACTATTTTGAGAATGGAATGGTTTGGGAACAACGACAGACTTTCCTCTGGGATGTCTAAATATGGTGTTACGTGGGAAAGGCAGGACATAGTAGGATGTTAAGGGGAAATCTAATATATTTATCCAGCTATAGTACCTGGACCCCAGCTTTCTTAACAGGTGAAAGATGGCAGCGCCATCCTCGCAAGAAGGCACCTTTCTATCTATTCTCCTCATGACAGCTGATGACAGATTTGGACTTTTCAAACTGCTTGAATTGAATCTGAAGCTTGTAATTTATAGTTACATGAACAACAACTATTTATTGCAGAATATTCTATTTTCAAGGCCAGTGTGAATCATGATGACAGATGGCTATTTCATATATGTCAATATGTCAAACCATTCAATACTTTGAAAGGCATGTGAAGTAAAAGTAAACTCTAAATATTACTATAAAATCAATGCACTGGCTTAGTGTACTGAATGTTGAGGAAAAACTCAAATTAAAAAACGAAATGTTTCAAATCTACCCCTGTCATCAAATAAACATTTAAAAGGCTTTTATATCATTTTGCACAAATTCAAAGATGTCATTTTTGTATTGTTAGAGATCAGTGGAGGATCAATCTGGAAGACATAACTGAAGTTGCTATGGGGTTGCTAGGGGAGTGACAGGGGGCATTAAGTACAGTATGTGGGCAAACTGCAGAGTCAATGAGTTTGATTGTACAATGACAGAAAAAAACAAGTGAACACTCCTTATAACGACGCTGCTATGGAGGAATATTCCCAGCAAAGGTTCACGACTAAATGAAATGAAAAATAAAATAAAAACAATGCTTTTTGTTCTTATCAAAGTGTTTGCTGCTATTTTGTAGATATTTTTTATTAAAACGACAATATACTGCCATGTAATAAAATAATTTTTTTCATAGAAAGTTATATGATATTATTGACATTGTCCTTCTTTCGTAGTGTATTGGTATGTGATCTGATTTTTAAAAACTCTATGTTTTATGATATCTGCTCTATTCCAAAAAAGAAACAAAATCTAGCTCCTGTTTCCTTCACAATACCTCATGCCACAGACACAATTATCTGGTCATTTCATCTGAGTTTTAATTTTAATTTGTCTATAATGATAGTTCTGGTATAAAATTAGGGTAAAAAAATTATTATAGAAAGCAATGATTGAACCTTGTGCCATAATAACCAACCTGTTGTAATAAAGTTGTTATAACTCCTTTATAACACCTGTATAACAAATTTTTAAGCTGTTTCAGTTAAGGAGACTGTATCCCCCCATTAGGTCGATGATGGCCCTATATATATATATAAAGCTTTTGTACAAATTGAAAACAGATATGATGGACTTTTGTAAATGGCATGTTTACCTATTAAGCCATAGGTTGTTTTCTGATAGCGATTTAACACCATTTTGATAAAAAAATATACAATGTGCCGTCTTGTGTCATCAGCTGGAAACGACCGGAGACGTGACATTATCAATCATGTGTTTTTACTGCACAATAAATGGAAAAAAAAAGACGTATTTTGTCTTTACAGTATGTTAGTGTCCCTTTACAGTATGTTAGTGTCCCTTTACAGTATGTTAGTGTCCCATACTGAGCCAATATTGTGTTTTTGCCATAAAATAAGTAAACACTGTACGTCTCTGGTCTTTGTGAGCAAAGTCAAGTAAAAACGATGCTGCTGTCCAAGTCTTTCTCACTTTGATTCCTACCTAGTGGGGAACATTTGTTAAAAAGATATCAGGCTAGTCTGCATGCGCATGTGTTGGTGTGTGTGTGTGTGGGGGGGGGGGGGGGGTGTTAAGAGACTGAGAGGGGGTGAATTGAGAGAAAGGAGCAAAAGAGAGTGAGAGAGGAGAGGAGAGGAGAAGGGAGGGGAGGGGAGGGGAGGGGAGGGGAGGGGAGGGGAGGGGAGGGGAGGGGAGGGGAGGGGAGGGGAGGGATGTAGTGTATACTATTTTGTTATGCATGGAATGCTTTTGAAGGGAGAATTCTGTATAGAGGAATAGAAAGGCTGAAACCCCAATCCTTTCTCACAGGCCAGTGAACATGAGCTGGACAAACAGTGAAGAATGGGCCAGGGCAGAGGGAGGAGAAGAGCAGTGCTGTACCCCTACATCCTACCACCAGACTGCATCCCAAATGCCACCCTATTCCCTACATAAAGATGTAGGATCTTAATTTGAGCAGGAGATATAAAACTTGTAGTATATTTTTGGTATAAAAAGGCTTCTGAAGTTTGTAATTTCCACTTTGAAATTTCAGACTTGATTTTCCCTTAAGGAAAATGTATCAACCCCTACCAAAATGTTCATTAATTATAATCCATCTAATAATTCACAATTCCTGTTGCTGCAGGATTATTGTCCTGCTGTAGCAAACTGGCTCAAATTAAGATCCAACATATGTAGTGCACTACTTTGCCAGTCATCCTACCCCCAGTCAGCCAACCGCCCTGGGCCTCAGGAGACACTGCACCACCACTGTTACGTCACACAACAGAATAATGTAATTTATCAAACAGTAGAGAGAGAAGAAGAGTTTTCCTCTTTAGCTTGTAAAGCTGTTTTTTGTTTCTGTTCTCCAGAGAGTTCCCACTCTAACCTGTAAAGTAAAAGTAAAATGATGTACGCTATGATAAGTGTAAATTAGTTACAGCTTGTTTTTCTTCTTTTGTGACTACTTTCGATACCAGCTGTCGCTTGTCTAGAATACTGCATTCCAGAGAATGCTGCTTTCAAATTCGAGGGACTACTGCTTTCTCTCTCTCCTTTTCTAAATGATCTCTCTTACAGACTGCTTCTCAGAGTTGTCCACTTTGTGCTGTTGCATTTTCCACTGACACAGCTTTATGAAGAGGAGGGTCACGGTCGTTGGCACACAGGTTTACAAGCAGTAAAGCTAGCAGCATTTGACGTGAAGTGCTGTTTGTTTGCAGAGCGGAGCCTTGAAGTAGAGAGAGAGATACCAGAGAGAGGGAGAGCGAGAGAGAGAGAGAGAGAGAGAGAGAGAGAGAGAGCAGAGAGCAGAGAGAGCGAGAGCAGAGCAATTTTATCAGTGGGCCTCAGTTCATGCCGCCAGTCCGATCCTCACCTGCTGCAGAGTGCTATAGGCCAGCTGTCTGTCCTTTCGGCAGCTGGCCCCTGCCGGCTTTGTCCTGCTGAGTTCTGATCCATTCCTCTTCTGGGGAAAAGGAAAATCAGAAAGGCAGCTGTCCAGCAGCATCAGGACAAAACCAGCCTGGCAGGGAGGCAGCAGCACAATGCAGACAGCCTCTGTGGCTCTCATTCGCTCTCAACCAACTGTAGTGTCCTGTAGTGTCACATAGTCCAGGAGGAAGGGTCATATCACCCTCTACTGGAGGGTCCAGAACAGATCGAGCACACGTCTGATACTAAGGCCTTCAATACTGTTGTTGTCATACTTCGTCCTTTCTATAGGATTTGGGGTCCCACTTTAAATAAACGAAAATGTTCAATGCTTAATGAAGTCATCATAAACCCTCTATGAGGCCTATATAGAAGCATACCATCAGGAATCATACCTAATAGATGCAGAGCGTTAGAAAAGACTATGCCCCATCGCTACCTTGTGATTCACTATTTTACCCAGTTGATGGCAGCACTTTACTGGATTATGTTTGCTAGGTAACTGTTTTGGCACCCAGACTATCCCAACGGGGTCTTCGTTCTAACATTGGAGACTCACAAAAAGTAATTTAATGTGTGACTGATTTTACTATACTAACCGGTTGAACTGCTTTCAACACCTCCATGTCTGATATCTTTTAAACCCCAACGATCCTTGGAGCAGTAGATTAGATTATCAGAACTATAGCTCACCTTCTGTGTTATTGATCCTTAATTAATTCTCACAGTACACAGGATCTTGATGTTTGTTATTGAATCATTCATTATTTTCAACAAAAACAAAAATAGTATAATTCAGTCCAATCCAATCTACTCAAATTAAGCAGAATGAGCATTGCTGG